TCTGCTTATTTCAGTCATCCTTAAAGTGATGGATAGACATAGGTTAGCAAAGCAGCATAGAGATTATTCCCCTCTGAAAGAGCTTTTTATGTTCAGTATTATGATTCTCTACTTCCTATGTCCATTCTTTAAATCCATGCTGCTATTCATAAATAAATACTTGAGATAATATGCATTCATGGTCTGATGTGTGAAACTGTTAAAATGTTTGCTTGCATGTATATTAATGATCAATTGCAAGTAAAGCAGCTTCATGTTACAAAATCATGATAAGAAAGAGGAATCACCTTTAAAGGACATATATATAATATTTTTTAACTCTTACAATTAATGCTGTGGGTTTAAATGCAGAATTATGCACACAGAGGATAAAACAAATCTACCATGCCTATGTTTCATCTTGTTACAAGTATGCATTAGGGATAATCCTACACAAGTCAGTGGTGTAACTGTGGATTCATATTGACAGAGCATCAAACCAAACCTATCAGCTGAAGCAGAAGCAGCCTAGTTATCATGGCTGGTATAAATGAGATCAGAATCAGTCCCATGCTCTTTCAAAACCATTGGAATATGTAGCAGTGATGGATTGAGTTGTTCCCTTACAGCAATTTTACTATGCTTTAATTCTGAAGTGAGATTAACCATCATTTTCCTCATCATGAAGAAAATCAAACCCAGAGATACTGATCACAGTGATCCTTGTGATGTAAGTTCAAGGAGTCACTTCAGCTTTATATTGGTTTTATAAAACAATTTCACTCCTTGAGCAGACAATACAGGAAGCATTAGAACCAGCACTGCTAAGTTAAATACCTCTGTGTTTGGTGGAAGGGAGGAAGGGCTTGTAACCAAGAATGTGTAGATTAGACCATAAAAGAAAATAGGAGTGCTTGTGCTTGGTTGGAATTACTGCTTTGCCTGCCAAATCACAAATAGTATGTAATTTTGCTGCTATTGGTCATATTTGCTCCCCAACATTTGGAGTTTTGCTATGGCAGCAGCTGAAGCTCTTAGCTTCAAATGCTTGAGCTTCTGACAGCAAATCGAGAAGAACCTCTGGTAGCTGAAGCAGCAGGGATTTGTGATGCACAGTTGAGCCTGGTGGAACAATTTCACAGAGAAAAATACCACCACAAGGCAGTGTCAAGCCAGGACATACACAAGGAGCTGCTTTATTCAGCTGCATTCAGGTATATTGTATATTGCTGTCTCAATAGCCATGCACTGAAGTTTTAAGTTTCCTGCAGCTGTGAGGGATAGGTGGGAATGCTGGTGTGGGGAAAGGGTCTCAGCTGGTGGGGCAGAATTCAAGTGTGTGCTGGTGTCAGAGCACTTGCTGACATCAAAACCAGGACGGTCTGTATTTGAGATAGATGTGGTGGAACTGCAGCTATGAACATGTGTTCAGATATTTTTCACTCCTAGAAAGAGACAAAAAAAAAAGCTTAAACTGTGATTTGGATGTTGTGAGTTTGCACTTAGGCTCCTGGAAATCGCTGAACTTGGAAAGGTTCAGTGTCTCAGAATAATCATTTGTATGCATATTTTGGACAGACAAAAAGCTACTCTATTTTGCTCTGCTTCAAAACTGAGGCTGGTTTAGACAGATCCTAAAAAAGGCCCTTTTCAGGCACACCAGATCTCCTTTGGCACAAACCACAACCAGGTCAGCACTGCTGTGGCACTGCCTGCAGAGAGTAAAGCCTAAGGTACTCCAAAGAAAAAGACTAAAAATTTCCTCAGAGGAAAATAGTGTATAATCACCCACTCAATATGGGAAAGCATGTTCACAGGGAGAGGGAACCTGGAGTATCTGTCAAAGGCGGGACTGTAAGTGATGCTCATCCCTTTTTAGCTCATGTTTGCACTACAGGGTAGCACGTATCCCCATGATAACTCTCTACCATTGACTTTGTTTCCAGGAGTTGTTCCACATTCATGTAAAAGAGAGGATTAGTATGCTGCTCTATTGCCTTAGTGATTTATACTAGACTTGGAATAAGATTTTAGGCAGTTCTTAGTTGCTTTCAACACCAGCCAGCACAGAATAATTCTTTTGCCCCACGTGCGCTTCAGACATAAGTAGCTCAAATCATAGGCTGAGCTTGTGCTTCTTCTGTTTGGTTTGTTTGTCAGTATAGTCAAATTCTGTGAATTCTTGAAAATTTTTGTTAATAATCCTTTTCTTGTTTTAGCTTTCAGCCAGTCTCTTCACTTTCCCTGAATTTGGAGTAAAGAGCAATCATACCTCCCGGAAGAAAAAGTAGTCCTTGACCTATAGCAAGTGCCTGAGAGGAGGCTGAGTATCACTGAAAAGGAGGGTTTGGGGGCAGCTGCAACAAAATACACAGAGAAGCAATTGGTACTTGAACAGAGTGAGAGAGAGAATGGTTTGATCCCAAATCAGTGCTGGTTTATGCTCTAGTTATATTGCAAAAATACCCAAAACACAACAAACAAAAACTCCAGATCAGGGATCTGGTGTTTCTTTGGGATTTTTGCAGTCTTTCAGATGATGCTGGTGCAGAGCAGGGGAAGGCAATGTGCCCTGTCACTGGTCCAGTGAGGGACCATCACCTACAAAACCTGGGTAGGACGTAAATTGAACATGATACTCAGTGTTCAGAGGAGGTGCAACCTTACCTGCTGCACAGTGTCTGTAGATAATATTCCTAGTCCTTAGGCATAAGCGTTATCTATATTTCACAATACATGGAGACAGCAACCAAAAGACAACCCACCATGTTATGACCTCAGCCAGGATCTTCTGAAAAAAGTTACCTCTTATTTGTCTTACCTAATCAGCAAAAGAGGAAATCTGATTATTGTAAAAGAAGAAGGGAGTGGAGAGTAGAGTATGACCTGGCCAAAGTGACAGCTTGTGAGAGGGAAGGAGGTGCAGCCCTGACCTGGAGCCCCTGTGTTTCTGCACCCACTGGAGCTCACAGTTTGGAGGATGCAAGCATGGTTCTGCTTTCCCCTTTTCATTGCCTGCATGTGTGTCCAGACAACAAACCTGCTGGATTAGAGGTTTGTGGCAAATGGATCAGGAGAGCATGTTGATTTGTTCACAACCTGTGTCCTAAGGCAGATCAGCTCTGTCAGTGCTGCTCCTTACAGGGTTTGTCTAACAGCCTTAAAGACATGCAATGATGAAGACTGCAGTTCCCCTGGCAGTCTGTTTCAGTATTTTATTTTTCCATTTGGAGATCTTTTTAGAATTCAGCATAGATCTGCTTTGTTGTGATTTAAATCTATTACCTCTGGATCTATCCACAGCAGAGCAGGGTCTTCTTTGCATGAAAAAAACCCCCAATGTAGTTCAGTCTTTGTGGAACGGTTTTCCTATACCCTTGGTCATTCTGGCTTTCCTCTAACCTTTCATTAGTTGGTACCCATATGGCACAAATGTGGGCATAGTGTTCTAGCTGAGACCTTATTAATGCTGAGCAAGATACTGAGAGGAAGGATTACGTGGTAGAGTTTGCTAACTGTCCTGCCATTAAACTTTTCCAATAGCGTACTTACCTTTTCCACAGCCCATCTTCAGCTGGTAATCCACAACCCTCAGATTAATTTAATTTTATTTCTTTAAAGGATTTCCAAATTTCAGCAGTTGATTATCCTACCTAAGTTAAGGAACAATTTGTATCTTGTGGTTGAGTGCCAGAGACAATTTTTTCATTTTGAATTCTAGGCATGTCATTCAGTATGGCCACAGTCCTTCCAGGCTTCCTCTCCCCTGAGAATTTAATAGCATACTCCCCATTCTATCACCTCAATAATTTATGAAAATATTGATAACACTGTGAGACCTGGGACAAGCCCTGCAGCATCCACGAGTATATCTTTATGTATTAAGACTGTTCCATGGGGGAGCAATCTCTTTGGATACAGTCACTCTATCACCCTCTATTTACCTATCAGAGGGAAAAAGTTTATCAAGAGATTTTTTTCTAGTTTGTTTCCAAGCCTGGTAAGTGAAACAGCTTTGAAAGCCTTGCTTTGAGATCAATGCTAGCTGCTGTTTCTTACCTCCAGAAGGTTTGTTACCACATTTCTGTGGAAGGAAGATGTCGCTCCCTCCCCCCTTTCAAATGTCCTACTAATTTCTTGCTTTCCTGTCACTATGAGCCTGGTAATCCCTTTGCAGACCCAGACATTTTAGAACTGCATTATTAAATTAGCTAAGTACTTCCTTTCTCTCACCCCCATGGAATTATGACAGAGTGTTCTACCTCTCGTTCCTTTCTGTATTACTTTTATTAGTCACAAGAAAATAATTGAACTGTTTGACACAGTTTCTCAGAAATCTATGCAATTTTTTTTTTAAATCCAGTTATTTGTGGCTTTAAATTCTATTATTTTTGTTAATGCAATCAAACATCACGTTTGCTTTGCTTATTGGAGAGTGGTTACCAGCCTCAGAGCTGATGATTGCACAGTTATTACAATTGCCAGTGTTATTTTCTGTGGACTTGCTCATATATTCATTTCTCTTTTATAGGAGGACTTTCCAATGAGTGTATCTTTCTTAACTTAGTCCTTTTTCTAAGAACTTGTAAAAATTGCACAAAGATGGACAAAAACTAGTCCAAGTCTGCAGTATTGGGAGTCTACTGGAGAGCATGGTGACAAATTAATATCTGAACCTAGAAAGTTATGATTCCCCTCAATATGCAATGGAACAGGTAATCCCTGTGGCTGGAAGGGTCAATGGTGACTCACCTTTCACTGTTGACAGGGATGCAGCATGTAGAAAAGGGTAGATGGTTCTTCTAATAACTAATCATAAATAGGTTTGGATGTGGACTGTGTTCCTTGAGGTGTTGGTTCAGTTCTTACAGATCAATCTGCTACTTCCAAAGGGTGCCAGAGAGAGCAGTAAAGCTCAGGGGAACGAGTGCTGGAAAGAAGGATTTGTTCACATCACTGCTGCCCATCTGTGGTCCTGATTGCCTGCAGGGGCTCTGCTCCTGGGGAGGAGATGGGTGGAGGGAGGACAGTGAGTGATCTGCGAGTGATAGGAATTGGTCACATGTGGTGATGACCAGAGCAGACACATATTACTCCATTGTCTCCTTAGGCCAGATAACATGTCTGACAGAGAGGCTGCTATGAGGACATTAGCAAACAGTTGGTAAAGGAGTACAGAGTCCCTCTGGAATGGAGGTGTAAATGCGGATTTCACCCTCCTCCTTTCTCTTACAAGAAATGCTATTCCTATGAAGAACAGTGAGCCATTTAAATAAGGAAACAAAGTCATGCACGGAAGGGAGCATTGTTTTGGGGTTTATTTGATGCATTTTGTATAATGGATCTAACAAACAACAAGCTGAAAACGAAAGGGAAAAGAAAACAAAAATGTTCAGATGGATGATGCAGAGGAACTGCAGTCATTGAGTTGGTCACTGTGAGTGGCTGTAAATACGTAACAGAAAACATCCCCTGTGCCTGAAGACCCCATGATCTAAGGCAAATGGGGCTAAAGGGGATAGCAGGAGCATTGCTTCTGTCAGGACAGGTTGCTGCTTAGCCAGGGTGGTTTTCTGGTTGGGTGGAGGTTCAGGGGTGGTTGTCGGATGGGAATTTCAGGAAGGATTTGAAGGAGGGCCATGACTTGGGCTTGCAAATACATATGGGTACATATTTTAAAGTAGGTCCTTGGAAGTTAAGAATTGCATTTGGTCTCCTTAAATCAAAGGAGAGCTAATTCCTTCTCTAATATTGAGCCTTCTGCAGTGAATTAGAGACTGACTTTCACTGTAATTCTATTGTATACTACTTATCATTGCTCAGGTGATACCGTAACAAGGTGAAATTCAGCGAGTAGCCAGAGCCTAGGCAGCACTTGGCAGTGCTTTTTTAGGCTGTGACTTAATCTGTGCTTATCTTTTATCTTCCCAACAACTCTAACGCAAAATGACTTCATATTCTTTATAGGGATACAAAGAATATATGTTGGTTGGGACTTCAGAATTGCCTGCTTCTTTTTTTGATCAAAATAATAGAAACTGAGAATGAAAAACTTGGGACTGAATACTGCAATTTTCAGCCAAAAACTTCTGGTCTAGATCTGAGAAGAGCTACTTGCAAGAGCTCTGCTGGTGCTTTGGGATTTCAGACTGAGTCCCTGTGCACCAGGACACATCACTGTCTTTTCCTATTGAACAACCATGTGAGTTTACATCCTGAGAGTCTGTGATCATGGTATAAGAAGGAAAATGAAAGCTAGCTCAGAGAAGGGAAGGTGGGCACTGAAGGTTTATTTGCGAATGTAAACTTTTGCCTGTGACTCTAAAGTGTTGCAATGGAAAATAATTGTCATCTTTTTAATCATGTTCCTTTTCATTTCAAAGGGAACACTGCGTGTACCATGTACAAAGTGTTCTGTGATAAAAGATGTCACTTTAAAAGTCAGACTTAATTTATGATGAGGACATCAGACTGGATCAGAAATTGATATATTTTGCAAATAAGAACAAGTTAATATGAGTACAATTACTGCAGGAAGAAACTTGGTATCAGACACAGCTTGAGCATCCCCTCATCCTGTTGTTTAGAAGAATGTGTTCCAAAAGCATTTTGACAATGGAAAGGAGTGCAATTCAGTGAAAAAGTGAGACAGATGAGAAAGGAAGAGGTTTCCGAGAACAGTCGATTTAAATGGTAAATCATAATGTGCCAGTAGCAGTCAGATTTTAACACTGAATATAATAGCAATATGGCTCTGCTCTGTCAGAGCTGTTTTTATATCAAGAGTTTTCAGGTTTTCTGAGAGGTACAGATTCCATTTGAAACATTCACTTCCCATGTTGAGTCCCCTTGAGCTTTGTTTCTTGTCGCACACAACAACAGTGTGAATGAATGAGATGTCATCACTGTCTGTGCCTGTGTGCACCCACAGAACTGGGCTGGGAAAAGCTGCTTAAACTTGTTCGCTGCTGATGTCCCACGGAACATGATAATTGAAATATGGGTATGGGGGGTGTGGTACTGAAAATCTGACACCATCACAGCAAGGCTCCTTTTAAAATAGCTGTCAGAGCAGGGCATGGAAGGGAATTCAGCTAAAGTAAAATATTGCAGACCAATTTGTGTGCTTTCTGGAGAACTAGAACAAGACTTGGTATTACAGGCCAGCTACCTGGACCAGCCTCTTCATACACTTTGGTCAGTTGCCAGTCTTGCAGTTCAAGTTTCTGGTGCAAATTATTCCACGACATAAAGAAAATAATCCTCCAAAATGGCTTAATTTTCTTCCAGAGTAAAATAAAATCCCAGAACTCTGAAACTTTGGCCAAAGCTTGACAAATTTTGGAGTGACAAAATGCTAGAGAAAGCAAGGACTACTTTATGGTCTATATGGCACCAGTTGTGTTAATTTGTTCTGGTGTCAGTTAGCTGGAATGAAACAGTGACCATGGAGACCACAGAGATCTCTGAAGCAGTCAAACCAACATTACAGCGTTTGGGGGGGGGGAAAAAAAAAGAAGAAAATAGTTACTTCACTAGAAAATAACTAATTGATAGAATTGATAACTTAGGAATAGGACAGTTTTGAGCCAGAATGCATCTGGTTCAGAGGGGAAAAGTTACTGTCTCGTGATATGGACATTAAGCATCCTGTATAATTGGAAGAATGAATTAATAAAATAGATGATATTGTAAGGTCTGTTGGATGAGAAGTGTTTGGAAGCAGATATTGCCCACTGCAATAAGGGTAACAAATGGATTCTTGAACCCCAGGATATGGACAGGAATTGATTTAGAAGGAAGGACAACACAGAAACCTACATAGACCTGCTTTTCCAGTGAGATTTCTTCAATAGAGTGGTGGGTCTGTAGGTAAAAATTTCTGCAGTTTGTGGTTAGGCAGCTTAACTTCTCAGCAGAAGCAGAGTTGGAAAGCCCAGCAGAATCTGTGCTGTGCAAGAGGAAGAAGTCAGTGCAGATCCAGAAGACAAACCCAGATACCTTAAGACATTAAACTCAAGTGTTTGTACCTCACTGAAAGAGAATATAACCTAATACCCACCAAAGTAGACAGCTTTGAAGGACAGTTTGCTTTCATCTGCATTAAGCTAGTTCACTGGGGAAAAAAATCACCATCAAATGACAGTTTTGGCAAAAGGCGCTGTTTAAAAATATATCCTGAGAAAGTGGAAGAGAGCTGCCCTGCACAACGTGGGTTAAGAACTGTCCTGCTTCATGCCTCTTCTCACACTGGGCAGTGGGGAGATTTGGGGTGGCCTCCACAAGGCACACTGCAGAGCCTATGGTGGCGGGAGAGCAAGGGTTTAACCTTCAGCTGTGCCCACTAATTTCTGACTATTTACACTGACCAGGTAGACTGGTAGGAGTGAAATTTGTGTCCAGTCAGGAGTTGCTTCAGTCAGTTCTCTGGTTTGAAAACAAGACAATGATGTTAAGTCATCGTGTCTTATGAAATAATTAAGTCTCAGTTGCTGTCATTCCTTAGTCAGGTATTGTGTAATGTTTCCATGTGCTGTGAAAACATTCACTGGAATTAACAACGCTGAACATTATTTAATGTGAAGAATGTGGTAGGCAAAATCCACTCCTTCAAAATAATAAATCGGAGTAATGAATGATAGAAACTGCCTTACTCGGATTCACAGCCCCATCAAAGGGGGCTTGCACAGTTCAGGTGGTCTAAATTGGGGTAGCTCTGTAATTACAGCCTATTGGACAGACAGAAAATGTCTCTGGAACTGCCAGACTGGATTTTTTACAAGAATTAAAATTGTTGCTGTAATAAGAGATGAAGTGGACAAATATACTCAGTAAAGTCTATTAAAAATAAACCTTGTGTGTGTATGCCTATACTTCCAGTTGAACTCTAGGCTGGCAGGAATCAGCCTGTTACTGAGAGGCACCACTGCAGGACAGCAGGACATCAGAAGGCAATAAGCAAAATAAGTACATAGAAGACTATTCCTCTGTACACTGCACATGTGCACAGCAGTGCATGCAGTCAGCAGAGCTGTCAGTGCTTCCTGGCAAACACAGACTGCCTACAGGCTCCTACAGGCTCAAAAGTCACATTATATCTATATCCTCTGTACTTTTCATTAGTATGTGTAGAACAGCTAAGGTGTAGTGCTGTAAAGTAATAACACTGTGCTTACCCAAACAATTAAAACTTTCTTATCTTCCCTTGAAATACCAAATAGTAGTGGTTTACATAATGGCTTTTCCTCAACGAAGTCAAGCAGCCACCTTGCCAGAAAAGGCAGCAAACACCAATCTAGACTAAATAGCATGTTCATCCATGCCATGATGGGGTACAGCATTAAGACAAATGTTTTCCCTGCTGCAAAGGTCCTTATGAGGCAGAGAAGGGAATATATTCCAGGACGTGACATTGCCTCTCTGGAACAGAACAGAAAGATTCCTCATGCTCCAGCTCCTCCAAGCCATAGTGCTTTGAAAATACAGCATCTGGTCCAAAATCTAGTAAACTTGGATATTCTAACTGAACATACATTTCATAAACTGTATAAAATGAATCTGCTGTGCTAATTGTTCTGCTCTAACGCTTTAAGGGAATGCCAAACAGGAACAGTTGAGTTGCGGGAGGCGTGTCCAAGGCACAGGGTACGTGCGGGGCAGAGGAGCCCAGGGGAGCATGCGCCGACATAGGTAATCTTATTGGTCAAAGAAGTCACATGGTGTTAAAGGATAACACAGCGCCGATTTTAAAATAAATTCTGTTTGTTCACCATCTCACGAGGAGGTGTTTTTCCTTATTATATAAGGACATTTGCGTACCTTACAGGAATCCTAGGAAGGAAAGGCTGTGAAATCATTTCAGTTGGAGATGGTGCTCTGTCCTGCAATAGGCAGGATAGGAGGTTGTGGCCATATCAGCCTGATGTGCTTGTGCTTCCTGGAAAGAAGTTTAGCTGCAGGTGGCTGAACAGGCTGCAAACCCAGTGCACTGAAGGATTTTTCTTTTTCTCTGTAGGTGATGCTAGCAAAGAATCTGGATGTGTCTCAAGGGCTGGTGAACGGGGCACGAGGCGTTGTTGTAGGATTTGAAAGTGAACAGAAGGGTAAGTGAGCTTCTTGATCTCTTGCTGAAGGAAGAGGGGAAAAATAACAAAACGATTTTTTCATTGATGGCTGATGACTTCTCAGCTTTGTTTACTGCCTGGTAAGAATAATTTGAGGGAAAGCAGGGAGGAGATCTCTGCAGGCTTGGGGCTCTCACCAGCTGTGATGTCATGCACTGCATCAGCTGTAGCTATCTCTGGGCCTCTTGTGTTTGCTTTTCTGTGTTGTCTAGATGTGGGTGCTCCTTTGCATTTCCTGTTTTGTTCAAGCAAGTTTTTGTTTGTTTTTTCTCAAAGATTAATGTTCTGCTACCTGCAATGTGTATTTTTCTCTGCATCTCAGCTGATAAAATACCTGACTTTAATTCTTCTGCCTTAAGTAGGTGCCAAACATCATTTCAGTACATGCTATTTACTGTTTGCGGGTTTAGGTTTGGTTTAGGAAGGGGGAAGAAAAAGTATTCTTAGGCTGCTGACTTCCTGGCTTTTGAGTATCAGAAATACATCCCTGTTTCTCTCCTGCTCCCATTCCTACAGGGCTGCCTCAGGTGAGGTTTCTCTGTGGGGTCACACAGGTCATAAGATTGGAGAAATGGGTCTTCAAAGGACCATCAGGAGTTCACCTGAGTCGCCAACAGCTGCCTTTAAAATTGGCGTGGGCCATTTCCATTCACAAGAGTCAGGTGGGTGTCCTTGTACAGCTGTCTAAAGACTTTCACACCATCACAAGCCTTATTTCCTGGGTGAGCTTGCATTGCTGGTAAAACAGGAGGGAAAACTGAAAGGCCCTTGTTGGGGGAGGGGGAACTCCAGAATATGTGTGTTTAGCTGCACCTCTTCTGCTCATGATGCCTGCCTATAGGGTCACAGATGGACTAGATACACTGCTGAAGTTTCCATGGGGTGCTGCCATCTGCATAGTTGGTGTTAGACTATAAAGCAGCATTATTTACCACTGTGGGCTGATGAGAGCAGTGTTTCCTTGAGAGTCATCAGCACTAGAGACCCTGAGGTTTACAGTATAACTGAGGCAGCTGCCAGAGCCACAGCTGTGCTCTTTGGGCTGGGCTCGCTCTTTAGTGGTGTGTGTTTGTTTTTTTTCAATGTAACAGTGTAACTTTCTCAAAGTTCCTTCCCTTCCAGAAGACTTCATACACTTTGATAAATACTGGTCTTGGAGACCTGTGAGTTTGTTCCCATGCCACTGTTTATTGTTCCCGTGCCACTGTTTAAACCAGGGCAGGCTGTAAATTCTGCTGTGCCCAGGACAGCCCTGTAGACAGGCCTAACCCAGACTCTCTGATCTACCTGAGGACTGCTTGAGAATGGTGACTGTTCTAGTTAACTACTAGGAGTGAAACCAGCAGGATTTCTTTCCCTGCTGTGTTGATTAGATGGGATTTATGGAGTTTTGTGCAACAAGAGGTTCTCTGGAGTTAGTTAGTGGATTCTACTATCTGCTAGCAATTTACTGACAGTAGAAAACTACCTTTGCTTTCTGATTCTCATCTTTTAATCAGTTACACAGTAAAACAAAAGATTTCTTTGTTTTTTCTTTTTTTTAAATCAAGCCCTTACACCAAGAACGGTACCTTTGACAGACTCACAGGTTAGTGTTGGTACAGCACAGTGTTCGTTTTTGTTTGTTCTGTAACAAAGTTCTCTGTGTCTTTGGCAGGGCATGTCTTTAGACTGTGTGGAAATCTCCCTGTCTCGTGTCTTTGAAAGTGGGCAGGCTTACGTAGCCCTCTCCCGAGCCCGTAGCCTTGCAGGTCTCCGTGTTCTGGATTTTGACCCAAAAGTAGTGAGAGCTGATCCTTCTGTGCTGCAGTTCTACAGACAGTTAAGACGTTATCAGCTTTTAACCCAGATAAAGAAAAACCTCATGCTAGCAAAGCCTGCTTTGTGCTACCAAGATGAGAGATGTTGGCACTGAGATGCTTCTTTTTCTTCCTAAGCAAGACCATTCAAATTAAAACTTGTAGTGGCAGGAGAGATGAAACTGCAGAGAGAGCATGTGGCAGGGCAGCTCTTGGTGGTAAAATATCTACAATAGTTTTGGGATTGTATAAAACTACCTGGCCCTGTGGGCAAAAGGATAGGTTGAGATTCTTTGGTCTTCCTCTTGCAGTAAGGAATGAAGGGGAAGTGGGCACAAAAGAAATCTGTTCCATTTTTTTTATTATTTCTTCTTTCTCCCCAAAGGATTCACTACACACCTATTCAGATGCTGATGAGAAGGAGAATGTGAAATGCAGCTGATAATACTCTCCTGGTTTCTGCGAAGTGTGAGCACAGACTCCTGAGATGCAGTCATCTTGCTATTGAGTATATTTGATAACATAGGTAAAGTCAAAGGACTTTTTTTAGCTGTTTGCTTCATTCAGCTGACTCTGGATATATAGAAGTATCTCTGTCTCGTGCCTCTGGAATTTGGAAGGCTTCTGTAGACCCTTTCTGAGCCCACAGACCTACGTAAGCACTTCTGTGTCACAGATGCAACTCCAGCAAACAAAATGACTGAACAAGGATGTTCCTGAGGGTCCTTCCTGTGGTTCTATCCTGCCTGCCTAGTTGCATTTAATCCTCCACATATATAGACTGAAACTTGCGTCCCTTTCTTCAAGTATACCACTGTTGTGAGATGGAAGGTGTCTGGATGGATTGGACCTGTTCACAGGAGCTGCTGACACAAGGGAAAGCAGTGCTAAGTATCTGGAATACATACTTGATTCTTCTGCAAGCAAGGAGCTGGGCTATTACTTTACAGCATGCTGAGGTGTTCCAGATGCTTGACACCAGGAGGCTTTGCAAAACTTCCTCCACAAGCAGAACTGCCAGTTACATATTGCTTGTTATGCTGATATGTAGCGTTTTTATTAGTCTGTTGCATAAGATGTGATTTTTATTTTTTTAACTCTCTGAGATGAACTGGCACTGTTCAAAGACAAGAGGAATTCCTACATCTTATACCTGTAATTATGGAACTACAAGAATTGTGAAGTTCTGTTACTCCATTAGGGAGAAGATGGGTACTGGTGAGAGTTCCTCTTGTTTAAACATATGAGGCTTACTCAAATGAAAGTTGCTCCTGGAAAAAACTTGTCTGACTAATAAGGTGGAATTTTAGTGTGAAATAGGGAATAATGGCTATGGACATGTGAAGTGAGCTGTAATGTCACCTGTTTCAGCAAAAGCAGAGATAAGCAGAACTAATATACTGTCTTAATTAAGGAAAAGCTTTGGTCTTTGTATTTTAGCACTTTGTTTAAAGCTTAAGTAACTTGTATATTTTAAAATGTTTAACATCTTAAAACGTGACATAACATTCAGCTAGAACTCGTCTCTTGCAGGGTTATGCCTCTAACAAAACCTCTGCTGTGGGAGTGAGTTGAAGGTCACTTCTTGGCAGCTGCTCTCCTTAAAGCCAGGAAAGGATGTTGATTAGCCAGTGGTTAATATAGCAGAGAACAGTTTTAACAGGATTTCAAAATGCATATTTTAAGTGGGGGTTGGTTTCTTTTTTCCTGGGCTTGAAAGGTAGAGTTTTGGAGGGAGTCATAGTAAAAGACAGAAGTGTGCACAAACTGAAGATTAACTTCTCCCTGCCCACACACCTGGCAAGGAGGGTGCTGGCACACTAAAGCATCATTTCTGGTGCGGATGAGCACTGAGGTGTGATTGTTTGGCCTGCAGCTTCCAGAGCTTCCACTAGAGCTGGGTGAGGGCCTGACTCTGTTGCAGGCTGTCCCCCCCAGCTGCCAGTGCCAGTACCTAGGTGGAGTGCCCATGAGCATCGTGTGCTCAGGTTCAGCCCCTTCCTCCTGTGGTAGGACACAGGGGGTGCAGGTGTGGCAGGCTGGCTCTAGCCTTTCCTTGGACACCTCTTGTTCCCCCATCTGCTGTGTGTCCCTATCTTGAAGCACTCTTGCTCTTTCCTCATGCTGCTGTTCTGCAGTGGGTGCCCTGGCACAGACTGTGCTGTGCCACTCGTGCCTCCTGTGTAATTCCAGCTATGCCTCAACCGCATCCTCCACCTTTCTGTGGGTTGAGTTTTTGCTTTTGTTCACCCCCCCCCATGCCCCTTGTGCAGGTGGTAGAGGCTGTGGGTACCCTGATCATCAGGGCAAGGCTGTCCAGGCAGGCAGGGATGCCCAAGGGGTTGCCTTAAAGCCTGTATGCTTGGTCAGGGGGCTGGGCTGGGTCCAGTTTGCACTCTCATGGGTTTTTAGAGATGCTGCAGTATGAGGCCTTTGTGTTGCACTGGAGGTTGACGTGTGGGATCTGAAATGCCCAGAATGTCAGTGAGTTTTACTCTTGGGGTAGACAGCTAGGAAGGATATGCCAGGCATGTCCAGTCATACACAATACATGGATTTACTGACAGGTTACATAAGAGTGATTAGATAATGCAGGCTCAAATCCTTTAACATCTCTTAAAAAGTTTCTGTATTGCTGCAATGAAAAGATAATTTAGAGTGTAAGAGTGGTGATTATGCAAATAAACTTCTAATTGTGATTTTAAGAAGCAACTCACTTGACTATAGTTTTCCTGGATTTAGGGACTGAAATATTTCCAGTTGTATGGGGGTTTTTTTGGTGCCAAGCTGAGGTTTGAGATAAAATGCTAAACAGAACTTAAAGCTGGAAAGGCTAATCAATATTTCATGTTAGTATTAAATATACATGAAATATTGTGGTTGCCTTCTCTATGATGGAACTGTGGGAACAGAATAGTGGTGGCTTTTGAAGGGCTGGCAGCTGTTCTGAGGCCAAAAGGGGTCTGTGTAAATTTTGGATGTTCTTACTTCCAGCTAAAGCAGATGTAGGGATGGGGCTGGATCTGGAGGCTGCTATTTAAATCAGAAAAGAAGCAGCCAGGACAAATCTGAGCTGTCAGGCTCTGTCATGGCTCCCCTTCAGTCAGGGTTGTGATGAGGCCTTTTTTAACAGAATAATACTTCCATATATACATGAGGTAAAAATCTTGTAATACAAAAAATACCCCTTCTTCCAAGTTTTCCATAATGTGTTGATTTTTCTTTCAGAGGGACAGTCTGTCACTAGAACCCAATATGACAACATGGGATTTTTTTTTTAAAGAACTCTTTATTGTGGTAATTGTACCGCAAGAACAGAGCTCCTCTTCTCTTCGTTAGTCAGTAAAATGAAGAATCTGAAGGCTGAGCAGCTTTTTATACAAGGCTGCCACAAAGCCATCCTCAAAATGTCTAGTGCTGCTGTTGCTTTCACCTGCTGAGGCAAGGTGGGCTTAGCAGGCTGGATTCTTGTGAGGACAATTCACATGGCTCATGACAGAGCAAGCACCTGTGCCATTCTCCACTTACACAACCTAGAGTTTGTGCTTCTCCCCTGCCCCTCGATGGATCTTCTCCACAGGCTGTGGTCCTTCAGGAAGAAGTCTGCTCCACCACGGCCTTGCTCCACCACCAGCCCCTGGGGGCTGCAGGGGCACCTGGAGCTCCTCTTCCACCTCTGACCTGGGTGATCGTTTCTCACACCTTATTCCCCACACTCTGCAGTTTTTCCCCCTCTGTCTGTTGTTACCACCAGTGTCAGTGAGGGGCTCAGCTGTGCCCTGTGGTGGGGCTGTCCTGGAACTGGTTAGAATTTGCTTTGTCGGGCACGGGGCAGCCCTGACCTCTCCTCACAGAGATTCCCAACACGTGTGCACGGGCATCTCATACACCAAGAACCAAGTGTGTGAGCATCCTTCAAACTGCCCCACCACCCTTGCCTGCAGCAGTTGGGTGGTTGGATATCCTGGGCTACAGAGGAAAGGCTGAAGGTCCTGTGGTAGGTGAGGGGGGAATGGCTGGTGATGGAGGAGCTGCCATGGCCATGGGGCACCAGGCAGGAGCTGGCCCTGGGTGCAGCTGGAACCAAGCTTGTGGGAGAGGCACTCCGTGAGGGCACATGGCTGTGCAGCAGCAGGCTGGGTCCCAGCTCTGTGGAAAAGGAGGCTTCCATTACTGCACTCCCATAAACATGGGGAATTAATATTGTCCTCTGCTTTCACAAACTGAAGAGCAAGAATTTAAGCTTGGTGTCTGCCTTAACTGCAGCTATCATTAAGTGAATTAAACTAAGAGTTAGATACATAATTGGTATTTCTGTTACCACAAAGTACAGCCATTCTCTTTTCAAATACATTAAACCATAAGAAACTGCTTTATACCAGCTAAAGCTTCATAATACATTTATGTGTTATTGGAAGCATAATTCACAAGCAGAGTGTTATTAAAACCTTACCAGCTTCCAGTTTAAATCTTTGTACAGTGATTTATCGCCCTTCTCACTTCTTTATGTGACATTTTCACAATAATTAAACATGAATGTGTCCTCAGAGTCTGTACCCACAAGTCCTGTGAGCGCAGGAAAGGCAACAGTCCTCTTGATCTCAGATGCTGTAGTAAGATTGTGTCCAGGAATTAGATCTTCATATCCAGAGTTGCTCTGAATAGATGAAACAAATACTGCTCTTAAGTGATGGAAATACAGTACATTATAGGTTATATTATGAATGCTAATAATGTAATTTTTCTCACAGATATTAAAAGTTTCTCATTTTGTATTATGCCACTCTGTGACATGCAATTGTCTTCTGCTGTTAAATCTAAGCAGCTCTGTTATTAGCCTGAGAAAAGACCTGAATTGCTAGAGATTGCATTTAGATGTGTAAAATCTCTATTTCGCTGCTTCCTGTATAATTATTTTATGCTTGTTTCTATGACAGATTATAAGGATGTTGGATGGAATTTTTTAGCTAAACTACTGACTAGGATATAATGTATGAAACCTAGTTGTAAAAGCAAAATAAGTTGATAAAAAAATCTAAAAGTTTTTCACTTATAATTATTGAATAGTGCACTAGCTGAATTTTTAATTTTTTTTTTTTTTTAATTTGGTATGGTGTTGATGCAGAGGGCTGTCAGATGTGACAGAGAACCTATGAGAGCCCTTTTGAGATGGCAGCTGGGTAGGCACCAGCAGCATCCTAACTGGTACCATGTGCCCATGTGTGGGCAACCAGATTAAGCCTGCAGTGTTCTAACTGTAACACATTTTTACTAAATTGTTTATTACAATCCCTTTGCAAGAGGTAGAGCTATGATAAAGATGCCTCTGACAGAAACTTGTCTAAGATTTTTAATTATAATTATTTCTTTTATCACATGGAGTTTGGCATTTTAGGTTTTTTTCTCTTATTTCTCAAAATGTATGGTTGTTATCACCAAGTAGAGGAATATGTACACAAACCACACTTTTCATCTACTCTTCTCAAGCCACTGGGCTATATCAGTTTTCTGTGGGGGTGCATAATTTTTTTTTTTTTTCAATTATTAACACCTTGAGAATTACAGGGAGATTTGCCCAGACTTTGTTGGAGGTTAGGAGCTGGTCCAGCTCTGTAAAGATTCTGGATCTTATTTTGTTTATTGAAAGATCTGTGATTCCCTATCATCAAATATCAGCTTAGAGAGAGTATAATGTATTTTGAAGACAGTGCTAGACAGTAAAAATATTACTAAAACTTCTTAAGGTTATTCCAGTAGCTCATCATTCCCAAAATGAGGCAACACATATCTTTTAGTATTTCCGGGTGAAGGCTGGACAGACTTATTAAACATAATAAATGTCAAAAATATTTATGTGGATTAGTGAGAATAACTTGGATTAAAAAACAATTTTTAAAGTTTGTCATTTATCTTGGAAGTTGTACATATGATCAGCCTGGTTTTAAGTTGTTCTGTAAAAACATTTCTGGTAAGCTACCTTCTTGTTTTTATTGGATTAGTAGGACTCCTTGTAATAAAATATTTGACCATAATAACACCAGGTACTTTCAACTGACACTTTGCAATACAAAGTAAATTTTAAAAAGATATCTTGAAGCCTGGGCAATAAGCTGGTGCATTAGGCAGAGGGATGTTACCAGAACTAATTTAATAATAAAGAAGGAAGTTTTGGAATTGTTTGGGTTTTACATGCTTTTTCTCCACATGAAAGAGACCTTGCACTAATTTTAACCATTTTACTTGTGACAGTAGAAAGCTCTGGCTATTTTAACATAAAAATCCCCACTGAAAATGGAACACAGCTGATGATTCAATAGGGTCAAAATGACAAACTTTCATAAAATGATGTCTCTTTGTCTTCATTAGCCATAATTATGGCTTTCAGTTAAACTTTTGGACAAATACTGTATGTTTTCCTCTTGTTTTGAAAATAAAGTTGTTTGTGCAGAGTAATTTTTATCCTTTAAGTTCATGTTAGAGACACAATGCTACTTTTGACACACTGCTGTGTACTC